TATATATATATATATATATATGTCTGTGTGTGCATATCACACACACATGGGGTTCAGCTATGGGTGAGTGGTTAGAGCAGTTGTCCTCCATTGGCAGAATTGGTGGTTTATTCTCATCAGCATCCTCATTTTGAATTGTCCCTGGGCTAGACACAGTGTCCCACAGTGTATGAATGTGATCTAAAAGCACTGATTAGTCTCTATAGAATGATTTGTTCAATTAGCTTTGTGGACATCTATCAGATTGATGTGTGTTTGTGTGTGTGTGTGTGTGTGTGTGTGTGTGTGTGTGTGTGTGTGTGTGTGTGTGTGTGTGTGTGTGTGTGTGTAGGAAAATGAGGGTACATATTGTGCTGTAAAGCACTTTGTTTAAAGTTCATTTACAAGTTTTATAAGTTTTACCTTTTAAAAGTTTCAACTCTTTGTTGTTGCTAGGCACAAATGTTCACATAACCATGTGCCCATACACACAATATGACAACAAATTAGCTGCATTTTCTTCTTTTGTTGTTGTTTTTTTTCAAGCCGTGTGACCTTAATACCCAAGAGAAAGGAGACAACGATCTTTGGCTAAGGACACTTCTATAGACCTACCTTCCCACACACAGTCTTTAACAACTCTCTCCAAGGACTTCAAGCTGTAGATTGAGGGATCAAGTGAGACTGGCATAAAGACAGAGAAGGTTAAATGTGATTATGGCATGACAGGCTTTCACTTTTGGAAGCTGAGATGATAAACTGTGAGCCATGCATAAAATTAAAGTTGCTATGATTAAAAATGTGTCACAGATTTGCACATCCTGTATAAGCTCCCTTCCATAAATGAGATGAACATTTTGTTGGTTAATTTATCATTCACTGAATGGAATTACAGAGCATTCATCTACATGAAGCCAAGTGACGTATTGTGTATTTACAAACGAGCTGCATAATGGAATTACTTTGCTGGTTTAACCCGAACCTTTCAAGGTTTAATGGAAGTCAATGCACAAATTTTAACCACACAGATACGCCCACTGAAATATTAAATTTATCGTTGTATTAAGTAAAGGATAGCAGACCTTTTAGTCCTGGTTTATGTTTTTCTTTCAACCTTTCATGAACTTCAATTGTTAATTCTGAAGGTCTCTAAATTATATTCAAATTTGCATTTGTGGGGTACAAAGAGTGGTCTACATGACAGACTGCACAGTAGTGCAGTTGGCTATTATTGTTATCTTGCAGCAAGAAGGTCCTGGATCCAAATACTAGCTGGATCCTTTTTTCTGTGGAGATTACATGTTCTCCCTTTGCACCTGTTAGTTTTCTTTGAATGAGTCCAGTAATTGGCCCTGTGAGTCTGTGTATGTGTGTTTGCATGTTGGTTTTGATTAATAATATTGTGCTGTCAGTGTAAGCTCTGATATGCACTGGTGAAGATTCTCATTCATCCAGGACATGGTAAAAAAAAAAAAAATGTTAAAAACAAAACAACTGGATTTTATTTGTAGCTGAAGACTTTTCGCTTCTCATCCGAGGAGCTTTCTCAATTCAATGAAACAAGGAGTATGGGATTCGACTTATATAGCTGTGGTGTTCTGTAAGCTTGCATAATGGAGCTTGACACATGCAGATTGACCTCTTACTCTTCACAATAGAGGATCGTTAGAGTTGTTGTTAGCCTCATCCACAGACCAAGCTCTGATATGTCTTTGCTACACAGTTATTCTTCATATTTATTGTGATGCCTACAAATATGTATGTTTTTTTAAAGCACTGCTGTCCTGCACAGTTGGTTTGTGTTAGAAATCAAATTAAAAACCTTCAGTTGTGCTTGATTTTTCCACTACATTAAACATTATTAAAAGCTAACTAAACAATATTTTAAGGCCCGTGAATATTATTATCATTAATAATATTAATATTGTTATCAGAATCAGTGTCACTACAAAAAACTTCCCTGAACATTTATCATTCATATATTTATACATTTCACAACCAATTTTTTTTTTAATATTGTTCCACTGTGAGCACTAGGTCTCTAGTTGTATTCTAATCCCTTTGTCCATTACAGAGACAGAACATTTTCAAGCTAATGCAACTGGACCCTTACTAATGACACCAAATAGCCCTGTTGGCTGGATGACAACAGCTGAGAACAATACTGAATGTTGACATCACTTGCTATGAGAATCTATTTCAGGTTTCTTCCTTTTATAGTGAGCAGCTTAAAACTGCTCGCCTGATCCCAGGACAAAGCTCATATAAAAACTTGAAAAGAAGAGGTGACCCCTGTGCTAGAAAGTAATATCAGTCTGTTCAGACTCTTGCTCATTTCTCCGTGAGTGCCTGCTTTCATCTGAATCCCAATATGCCACCAAAGAAGATCGAACCAAAAAAGCCTGAGCCCAAAAAGCCTGAACCTAAGAAAGATGCGGCCCCAGCAGCTAAGCCAGTTCCAGCTCCAGAGCCGCAGCCTGAGCCACCGAAGGAGCCTCCTTTTGACCCCAAAAGCATCACTATTGAGTACTCCGCTGACCAGATTGAGGAATTCAAAGAAGCCTTCACCTTGTTTGACCGGACCCCAACTGGAGAAATGAAGATCACCTATGCCCAGTGTGGGGATGTGATGCGAGCTCTGGGTCAGAACCCTACCAATGCAGATGTGCTGAAGGTGCTTGGGAAACCACGTCCCGAGGACATGAACCATAAAATGTTGGACTTTGAGACTTTCTTGCCAATGTTGCAGCACATCTCCCGTGCAAAAGACCAGGGCAACTTTGAGGATTTCGTCGAAGGGCTCAGGGTTTTTGACAAAGAAGGCAACGGCACTATCATGGGAGCAGAGCTGCGTCATGTGCTGGCAACACTCGGAGAGAGGATGACAGAAGACGAAGTGGACAGATTGATGGCGGGACAGGAGGATGCAAACGGATGTATCAATTATGCCTCCTTTGTTAAACACATTCTTTCTGGTTAATAAGGGCATTTGACCACAAAGACTTAAATGTTCATCTCTTTCTCTCTACCTATTGGATTTGTCTATTTAGAGCTGGAGCTGGGAACTAATCAGTGATGTCCTTTTTTATGCTGTCAAATACGGAAGTTAGTTTTGAGCAAAATATGTCAACAGCAAGTCGCATGTGCTCAAAATGAAATGTCAGAGATTCAACATCTACAATAAAGAAAAATATATTGGGAACTGAATTAAGGTCATCACTTGTTTCACAAATGTCTTTTCAATCTGCACAACATTTAAACTAGAAGAGAAAATAAAGAAACTTGTTATGAAATGTCACATTGTGCATTCTTTATTAACTATCCTAATGTGAATCCCCGCCCATCGCCAAGAGCAAATAAAAATGTATTTAAATGAACAGATTTATTCTGATCAGAAAACAAACTGTAATTGCTTTTATTACGCTTAACACTCACACACACACACACATAAACACACATTGCATTTCACTGAGTGTTCTTTCTTTGTGATTGTGGAGCAGCTGCTTTGAATCAACATATATATCTTTAAAGTAGACACACACACACATACCCCCCCCCCCCTCCCTACACACACACCTCGTTTGACAAAAGACAGGTGCACCAAGGACAGACCCCGTCATATTGTTTGCAGAGCTGGCAGGACTATTTGTGGTGGCTTCGTAAAGCAAATAACACTTTAAAATAAAGTGGACGATGTATGAATTTAATGTTAACCTGAGTTTACTGAGTTTTAATTTTGTAATAAAAAAAACTGCAGCATGTTTTAAAATGTTTGACAAATAATGATGTTAAATCCATAAATGTTTTACTTACTTTTGGATATGCTTTAAAATTCTGTAGTAATACAATGTTAGCAAATATCCTAAATATTACATGGCTTGTATATTACGGCATAACTGAATGACATAGATAGCCGCAAATAAATAAATAAATGTTACAGTGAATATAGGAGACAGTTAGAATTCTAATTAATGCAACAACCAAAAGCGATAGAATATCAATTTAATTTGTTTCTCATTAATATGATTGACAGGAAATGTAAAGTTTCTATTCCACCTTCATCTGGTATGTTTTATAATGAAGGGCCCGGTTGCCCTTACAAATCGTATATACTGTAACATATAAAACAAAGTAATATGACTTCAGGTCATAGATATTGTTACTATTTCAAGCAGCTTGATGAAAATGATAGATGACTGATTAAAAATAGAAAAGATAAAAACACAACATGAAATACAAATATTTTCTTCTTGTTTTTTGTCTTACATTTGCATTTGTGTGGCTTATCAGCCTTGAATGAGGATAAGACAACAAAAAATGTTAAAACCCATCAATATTTGTAATGAACTGTTGAATATTAATATGTAACACATTGAAGATTTATTATTTATTTTCATACGGCTGTGAAAGGAAAGACACAGATAAATAGGGAGAAGTGGCTCTTACTCTTTACAGCTGTCAAGTAGATGCAAAAGAGTGTCTAAGTGTGCCGGGCACCCCGCTCCATAACTAGTTGAGAGCTGGCCAGCAAATTTAGACTCATCAACATTAATCAGCAGCTGTTACCTTTAAAGTCCTTTGTCGAATATGTAGAGCCCCTGGCTGGGAGGACACGACAGCTTGTGCATTTAAGTTTTAATGTTAGCCGTGGAGAGCATTTCCTGCACAAAAGGTGGACACGCCATGGTAAATATTAGTGTCAGGAAGGCAGTGCTATGAGTATAATTTCCATTGCCATGGTTTTGCCACCGCAGGGAGTTTAGGGAGGCAGTTTATTAAAATGTCAGCTAAATAAACTGTTTTCTGTATGGCTCTAGCTGCCCAGGTGGAAGCATAAAACACCACAACACACAAACATTTAAACAGAATTATCACACAACTGTATTTTGTCTGCGTTAAAGTGCTAATTTGTCAAACTTTCATGTTTTCTAAAAGCTGCCATTGCAGTTACTGCTAAAACAATATCTCACTGAATCTTACTTTGAGTAGTCAAATTATGCAAATACTGATTTATGTCATTGCTAATTCTCTCCTGGCAAAGATGTATTACATTTAATTATATAAATATTATATTGGGAGTGTTAACAACAACACCAAAATAAGCCTTCGTGAGCTGTAACATCTTGAACAAATTATAACTGAGACATCTAATCCCCATTATCTTAACATTTTTTCAGAAAACAGACACACTTTTGGCAAAGGTTATTTTTTAAATCAATAGTCAGAACTCACTACAAAAGTATTAACAATGTTAGACACAACCTTGAATATGTAAAACCTGGAATTCAAAAAGCACAAGTCAAAGAACAGTCGGCACAATTCATTTTGTTATTACATGTAGCAAAAAAAATATGTCTCTATAAAGAAGAAATAATAATGAATTTAAAAAGGAAAAAAAAGCCAACCCTTTTGTGTGGTTTTATCATTACAGGTGCAGACCACAGTCAAAGCAAGTAAGATTTGATAGGAGCTCCATCTGACGAGCTGGAATTTCTTTAATGATGGTGCATATGTGATGAAATGTCTCCTCTGTAGATGAGAATAAGATTATTATCTTTAGATCACAGCTCTGTTCCACAAGCAATATGACTTTTATTAAACTCAACATTTACTGTTGGTTCTGCATTACTCTTGAGTTTAAGCTTCACATTTAGTTTCACAGGTTGCAAACATTTTTTTTTTTTCTTCAGACATTTGAGGACAAACAATGTCCTCAACAGAAGCATTTAGGAATCAGTTCAGTTAATTATCTCTTGATCTGCACAACTGGTGATTTTCTCTTGAGGGCTCCCTTTAAACAAACTTCAAGAACATTATTCCTACATGCAACACACACGCACGTGCTACAAAACTCACATCTTCTGCTCTCATTACACAAACTTTGGACAGTTTGTAAAGTTGAAGCAAAATAAAATAGCCTTTACAAGACTTTTTGTGTGTGTGTGTGTATGTGTGTGTGTATTAGACAAGTACAATAGTATTATGTATTGTGTCACTATTATGACAAATATTTATACACACATTAAATTTTGTGCACTAATAAAAATATCAATATTAATAATTATTATTATTACAAGCATGGTGGCACAACTGGTAGAGATGCTGCCTCTCAACGAGAAGGTTGCCGGTTCAAATCCCGGTTCAGGGGCATTTCTGGGTGGAGTTAGTATGTTCTCTCCATGCATGCGTGGGTTTCCTCCCACAGACCAAAAACATGCATGTTAGGCTGATTGGTAACTCTAAATTGTCCCTAGGTGTGAGTGAGAGAGTGAATGGTTGTTTGTCTCTATGTGGCCATGTGATGGACGTGCGACCTGTCCAGGGTGTCCCCCGCCCCTCGCACAGTGATTGCTGGACATGAGCACTGGTGACCCCCATGACCCAAAATGGAAGAAGCTGGTAAACGATAATGGATGGATGGAGTATTAATATTATTTATTTATTTATTTATTTTAATTAGTGCACATAATTGAATGTGTGTATAAATATGTGTCATAATAGTGACAAAATACACAATACTTAGGTATTGTACTTGTTTATTACACAACAAAATAATTATAAAGGCTTTTTTAGTTTGCTTCAACTTTTTTAATACATTTTATTATATTATTATAATAGTATTATTACTATTATTATTATTATTATTGCTATTACTATGTGTGACTAGGTGTATAATTACACCTTTCTCCACCCTCATTTGCACTACTCTGGGCCCTTGAACAAGGCCCTTAACCCCCACCATCTGCTCCACGGGGCACCCTGGATAGCAGCTCTCTGCTCCACACAGAGGGCTCTGGTAGCTCAGTGATCCGTGGTTGTGTCAGGAAGGGCATCATGAGTAAAAACAATTGTCAAATCTCTGTGTGAGTTAATTCATTGTGGTGACCCTGGAAGAAGGGAGCAGCTGAAATAATAATAATAATAATAATAATAATAATAATAATAAATAAAATAAATGATAAATAATAATAATAATAATAATAATAATAATAATAGCAAAATGCATTTTCAATGCACAGTAGGCAGTAACTGTAACTGTAACTGCCTTAACTGTAAAGCACTTTGGTCAGCTTTTGTTGTTTTTATGTGCTATATAAATAAATTGACATTGACATTGACATTAAAATGTTCACTTTTATACCAATTACATTTCAATATTTATTTTATTCTATTTTTTTAATAGATGAAATTTGTTTTTGCTTTATTTCTATATCTGTTAATACTTATAAAAAGTATAAAAAGTAAAAGCTGTAAGGCAAATATTTCATGTCAGTACAGTCTGCAACCATTAGATAAGCCTTTTATGCACAATGTGCTTTATGGAATACTGCAGAAAAGACCTTTATAAACAGTTTCTGTCCTCAGAGCTGTTTTCATTAACGTTCATTACACACATGCGCTGTCCACCAATCGATACTCCTTCACCTTGTGCAGCCTTTACAGGCGGAATAGAAACTGCTCTAAGGGCAATAATGAGGAGTGTATGAGCTTGTTTTCTGCAGACAAGTCAGTTTATATTGCTCTTAGAGAAAAATCAAGATCATGAGATTTTAATTACAACACTTGTGGTAATGTGATTCATCATATTTTGAAATATATATAGTCTAATTGGTTTAGTTTGTCTTAAAAACAAACTTATATTAAAAAAACAAAACAAAAAGTCCCACAGTTTTTCTATATGTCTGGGAAACTGAGCATTCTTTAAATCCTTGTTCTGCATATTTAGGTGAAAAGAACACTGATGTTCCTGGGGTCTGTTGAGCTACCACCCCAGGTTTAAAAGCAACATTTTACCCAAAACACCATTAATCCAGGTATAAATCCAACAATGTTCAGTCAGGTCATCTGGATGGTTTCTTTTGTTGCTGAGATGGTTCATCCTTCATCCGAAGGACTTCTTCAGTCTGAGAAGCCCGCCAAACCAAACCGAATCCCACAAACAGCTCACTTTCACAGTGGGAAAAAAAACAAAAAACTGTTTGCTGGTGATAAGATGGCATCCGGGGCCCGCCCTCGGCCCCATCAACTCCCCCAAGGCAGAAGTTATCAAAAACATTAATTTTGTCTGTACCTTGGGTGAATAAAATCATGACCACCTCTACAAATCCAAATGCACATCCTAAGAATTTCAGTAAAAGTGTGTCATTAAATAAGCCGGTTTGATTTGTAGTGTGGAAATAAAAAAACATCATTTTATGAACTGACTGAGTTGTCCTAGTTGCCTTTTATCTCCAGCCAGTACTTGACCCCCGTCCACTAAAGA